ATTATCTCCATACTGATTTATACCTGCCTCTGGAGATTTCCATTACTTGCATCTGAAGAAGTGAGGTTCTTACCCACGAAAGCTTATGCTCGCAATACTTCTGTTAGTCTTAAAGGTGCCACAGGACTCTCTGTTGCTTTTTACAGATTCAGACTAACACGGCTATCCCTCTGATACTGTGTCAACGGTGAACGTCCTCATTAGAAACGCTTGCATCAATGCAGAGAGCAGTGTACCATGGGTAACTATCCCACCGTACAACTCACCACCATATAGCATAGGGAGTTTTGGGAAGGTTTTGCAATGCCTCATGGGACTTAAACAAATCGTGGAGGGGTGACTGCGAACATGATTTCAAGGTCCCATAATGCAATGGTCTCAATCCCATAGTTTCATCTTGCATCCCCTAATGTTTCATGTCTCTTTTCAAAATCCCCACAAACCCATGCGTCCCTCCTCACTGTCCACCATCTGTGTCAGAAGTATGAATCCTGCACAGCTCTGCTCTATTGTGATGAGCGTGGTAAACACAAGGTATCTAATCCCACAATATTTGCAGAACTGCCAGAGGAGCCACTGGGAACATGATTCCTTGCTGTGGGACATAGAAAAAAAACAATTCAAAGCTGTTGGTGGCATTCACAGAGCAGCTGCAGATGGTGGAGTGCTGGTTCTGGGCTTGAGAAACGAGCAGTGACTGGTGGGATTGCATTGTCATGCAGGTTTGGGATGACGAGCAGTGAGTGCAGAACTTTTGAATGCGCAAGGCCACATTCCTGGATCTGTGTGCAGAGCTCACCCCAGCCCTCCAGCATGGCCATACCAAAATGAGATCTGCATGGACAGTGGAGAAGCAAGTGGCAATCGCTCTGTGGAAACTTGCAACTCCCAATTCCTACCAATTGGTCGGGAATCAATTTGGAGTTGGGAGATCCACCATAGGGGCCGTTGTGGTGCAAGGGGGGAGGGCCATTAATTGCATCCTGCTACAAAGGACTTTGACTCTGGGCAATATGCAGGACATAGTGGATGGTTTTGCAGCAATGGGGTTCCTAATCTGTGGTGGGGTGAAAGATGGCATGCATATCCTGATTTTGGCCCCAGACCACTTTGCCACAGAGTACATCAACAGAAAGGGCTACTTTTGTATGATAAAACAAGCATTGGTGGATTTCCAGGGATGCTTTATTGACATCCATGTGGGCTGGTCAGGGAAGGTGCATGATGTGCGCATGTATAAGCACACTTAACTGTTCAGAATGCTGCAAGCAGGAACTTTCTTTCCATACTGGCAGATTACCACTGGGGATGTTGAAATGCCAATAGTGAACCTGGGAGACCCAGCCTACTCTTTACTCTCATGGCTCATGAAGCTGTAACACTGGTCACCTTGACAGCACCACGGAGCCCTTCAACTATAGGCTCAGCAGATGCAGAATAGCAGTTGAATGTGCCTTTGGTCATCTGAAGGGTCACTGGCGCTGTCTACTCACGAGATAGGGCCTTAGTGAGAAAAAATATCTCAATAATTATAGGTGGAGGTTAAATGGCTGTGTGCTGGTTTTGAGCAGCCAGATACCAGGGCTATAAGAGCTCAACACAGAGCTATTCAGCTTAGGGAGGTTTTTGAAAGACCATTTCAATAATGAGCCACAGCAATGTGTGTTGCTGTAGTGGGGTCTGCCTGGCATTGTTTTTTGCACCCCACTATGAATATTGTAATAAGTGTTGTGTGTATGGTAATATAACATTGCAAATGCACCTATTACTATTATCTGTGAATGATGTCAGCCCCAGCCAGCATATGCTGTGAACTAATAAAGATAATTAGGTTTCCATAAATAGACTTTTATCCCATACCCATGCAAACAGACAAACTAGTAACTGAATAAAACTCAATAAATAGAGGGGAAAGCACAGTCATTTCCATTTCAGAAGCACATACAGCAATCATGTCTTTCACAGTTCAGTGTATGTGCAGCTGTGATTGCCTGTACTCTCCCCTGGTGTGGAGTAGTAGGGGTAGTGCAACTGCCCCAGACATCATGTGGAATGCATGGGGGGAGGGGGGAGGGAGGTCCCGAAATGCAGTTCTCTATGGGCTGCAGAGGGGGATGAGCATTACACTGTTGAACCTGAAGATCAACAAGAATCTGCAGAGTGTCTGTTTGCTGCTTGAGAAACACTAGGATCTCCTGCTGAACGTTCCTCTCCTTTTCCTGCACAGTTCTCCTCTCCACTCTATCCCTGGCCATGCTGTCGACGAGGGTGTTCCTCCAAGCCCTGTGCTCGGTATCTGAAGCAGTAGAGGCTTGCAGGATCTCTTGGAACATGTCATTCCACGTCCTCTTCTTTCTCCTCCTTATCTGGATGAGCCACTCTGCTGGTGTGGATGGAGAGACCCTCAAGGCCACATTTCCAGCTGCAAAAGATACAATACATAGAGGTACTATTGTGAGAGTAATCACGAGATAAATCACAATTTTGCATACTGAACTCACTCCCTTTGATCCACACAAGTTGCAAACAATACATTCGGATTTCTTCTTGGGATTGATAGAACAAAGTGGCAGTCCCAGCCATGGTGAGTATGGCCCCAGGGGAGTGGGGTAGCTCACAGGCATGAGAATATGCACTTAGGGCAATTGAACTGAATACTGGCTCCATTTCCACAAGTGATGTGATTTTAGCTGATTTTACCTGAGATTAACGGAGGCGGAAAGGGAAGAGCTTCTGCAGGTATCCAGCTGCAGACAGGGGCCATATACTGCTAGCTGTGTGCTGTAATGGTGCCTGCTGAAGTAATCATTGAGTGGGATGCAAAAGTGTCCTACCATGGCAGAAGAAATAAGGCAGCCCTACCCAGAAACCTTTGGCAAAGAATTGCAGACTACCTCCAGGAAAGTTTCCTCAAGATCTCTATGGAGGATTCATGGGACATCCTGGTGCACACACATAAACTGTTCCACGGGCCTCCATGCTGCCTACCTCTAGAGGGGGATAAAAAGTGGATAGCAACTCTACCTCTTGGTTATTTCACTACCTCATCTAGCATAAGTAAAAAAGAGTAAATCAACAGATGTTTGCTGGTATATTGGCAGTTCCATCCTTGCAAATTCAAAACCGCATTCTTAGCAGAGGTTCCTTCCCCTGCTTCAAGACTGCCTGAGCTGGACTGTAGGGTCTGACTGGACTGCGCTGGAGTCAAAAACAGGTCCTGGCTTGCTGCACCACTGGATCTCCTGGTCACCTGTCCCCCATACTCCTCCTCTCTTCAATGTCCACTTCCTCCTCCTCGCTGTTCATGGCAGGGGCCTGTGACTTGGGGTCATTCAAAGTATCCATGGGACTCTTGGGATGGCATGCTGTCCAAGGATGGCAAGCAGCTCTTTGTAAAAGCAGCATGTCTGCGGCTCAGCACCAGAGTATCTTATATGGAGTTGATTGGTCCCTGTTTTACCCCTGCCACCTTGTGTAGTAGTTCCTGCTTAAAATGCTTTCTGCAGCTTTGACTGGATGAGACCTGAATGTTTGTGTTTGGTTAATGAAAGCCATAAGTGAAAGCTGTTCCATCCTTTGACCCATAGGAGTCTTTAACCTAGCTTCATTACAGGGATCAGAAGCTGTAAGGCCAGCCGTGTCTGTCCTTTTGCATTTAACATCTGATTTTTTAAATGAATTTATGAGTTACACTTGCCGCTTTAGATCAAGATTCTGCTATAGCTATTTAACTCCTCAAGATTTTTGGTTGACTTTTTCACTTTATTTTCCAAATTTGTTTATCTGATTCTATGTTTAACTGATCATCTTGTACAGAAGAAAACAACTGGTGTGTCCAGCTAAATGTTCCAAATTAATAAGCAGCAGGTTCAAAATGAACAAAAGGAAGTATTTTTTCCTACAATGCACAGTCAACCTGTGGAACTCCTTGCCAGAGGATGTTGTGAAGCCAAGACTATAACAGGGCTCAAAAAAGTACTAGATAAGTTCATGGAGGATAGGTCCATCAATGGCTATTAGCTGGGATTGGCAGGGATGGTGTCCCTAGCCTCTGTTTGCCAGAAGCTGGGAATGGACAACAGGGATGAATCACTTGATGATTACTGTTCTGTTCATTCCCTCTGGGGCACCTGGCATTGGCCACTGTTGGAAGACAGAATATTGGGCTAGATGGACCTTTGGTCTAATCCATTATGGCTGTTCTTATGTTCTTAATGATCCAGAGGAGGGGGTCAACAGACTGTTAATACAATTTGCAGTTGATACTGTGACACCCTGGCACCCCAGTATTCACTGCTGTTATGTAATTAGGATCTGTTTTGTACAAAGTATGCCTTGTGAAGTATCATTCTAAAAGTCTTGATCTGCTCGACATTGGATGTTATGTGCTATCACTGTATGTGACATTATGAAGTTTGGCTATGTATGTGTTACCAAAACATGTTGTGAGGTTGAAAACACCCACAAGCAGCCTTTCAGGTACAACAGTAAAAAAGACAAACAATGTTAATGGCTTATTGAGGAAATGCACACAAGCACAAAGATTACTTCAGGAACTGTGTACAATAGAAACCTCTCAGAGATAGCAGTACACAATGGGAATTGTTTGACCCAGGTCACAGCAAAAGAGCTTTCCAGCAAGTGAGAAGAAGATATAAAGGGGGGGAAATGACATCACATGGGTACCTCACTCAGCCTACAACAACACACCTGGAAATACCTGAGGAATAAAGACTGAACAGGGGGAAAGTGATGGTCCCAGGCTAAGGGATTGCTAGCCTGTGTATGAAAACCTGGGAAACCCAACCTGCAAAGCCAAGGCAGCTTGTGCCTTAAGAATCTGCCAACCTGTTTATCACTCAGGGTGAGAATTTGCTAATTCATATCCTACTTATCTAGTATGTTAAGCTCAGTGTGTGGTTTTGTTTATTTACTAGGTAATCTGCTTTGATCTGTTTGCTATCTCTTATAATCACTTAAAATCTATTTTTTGTAGTTAATAAACTTATTTTTGCTTTGTCTAAAACCAGTGTGTGGGAGTCATAACTTGGGTCAGAAAGCTAATAAAATGTACTTTAAAGCAGTCCTCTGAAGCCAACTTGAGAGACCTTTTTCCATAACAACCTTTCTCCCCAGTGGGTGAGCAACTGGCCACTGCGAACCTGCTGTTAATTACTCAATACTGTTCTAGATGTTAGGTAAATATCTGGGATGGTCTAAATCTATTGCTTATGTTTGTGTGTGCTTAAATCTAATAAACTGCAGTTTTAAATAAAGCACACTTACTTCCATGAATCTTATCAGATGAAATTGTTGTGTTCCTATTAATTTATTTTTAACACCGCCTAAAGTGAAATAGTTAAGTTGCCCCTGTTGCGGGTTCTGAAAACCCTGGATAACAGATTTTGGCGCACCAGCCAGGAGCTGGTGTAGAGGAAGGGAACGATTGATGCAAGTGGTTTGTGTGTTTGTTGCAATAGGTGAAGGGGGCAGTGGAACAGGGTAGCAACCTGTAATTCTCCATGCTATAGTCTGTGAGTTGATTTATGGTCAAATTTACGATTTATGAGCTTAGGCTCAAAAGCCTGGTTAAGTAAAAAGATGTGTCAGAAGAACAGGGAACACCTGGAAAGAAAGAAAAGCTAGAAGTAAATTTGGATAAGAACTTGGCAAATTTCATGCAGGTGCATAATAATGGTTTTTGGAAGCCAGAGAGCTTTACTGATCCCCGAGCGTTCCTGCAGTTCTGTAAACATATGGTAACGATGCTAGCAGATAAGCAAATAAAGAAGTTAAAGGCAGAAATAAAGAAAGTTAAGAAAGACAAAGAAATATCCAGACTGAGGGCAGCTCAAATATTGGTGCTGAAGAAGCAGGAGTGTGACAGGTTGGAGCAGGAAGTGTCTGGATTGAAACAGAAAACAGAGTGAATCTGTTGTTACAGCCTTACCAAAGGAATCCCAGGATAAGAGCCAGGCAGATCTTGGGGAATGTAAAAGTCAAAGTTGTGCGGAGAGCAGAAGGGAATAGTGGTTACAATTTGTTGGAGTCGTAGCCTTAGAAGGGGGTGTGTGTGAATCAGATGAGGATGTTGACTCGTATTCTCATTATAATGATAAGAAGTGTAATCCCCATGAGCTTCCTTTTCCCTTGGATTCTTCTGGGCAGTCCTCGTAGGGTCCCTTGCTTGAAACACTGGAAGAGCTGCAGTTGCCCATAGCCCCCATTAAAAGAGAGATTGGTACCCAAGGGGGTAACCCTAGAGGGGAAGAATGGGTAGAGGTCAGGCTCTTCACCCCTAACCAAGCTAGAGCCGCAGGAAAACTGGTTGGCCCATTAACCCAGAGCACAGCCTTGGAATGGCTGGCAAAGATAGCTGGCACCCACGATTTCTGGCAGATGTGGCAGCAATTCTCACTCTCCTCTTGGAGTCAGGATAGGGGCTGGGGTCCAGGTTCCCTGATGCTTTAGTCTACGAAGCCCTACTTCTAGATTTGTTGTTGCTATCTGTATTTCCTCGGCTTAGGTTTTCCTTTCTCCCTAAGTCGTTCTTTTTTCTCTCCCCTGTCTCCGCTTCTTCTCCCTCTCTCCCCCCCTCTGCTTTTTCTCTTTTTGTTTCCCCTCCCCTCCCCCAAAGTATTTACTGTCTTTGAAAATATGGTTGCCAGGAGAAGGATTGGGCCCAAATATTGAAAAGTTTGTGTCCACATGAAGCAATCTTGTTTAAAGCCATGGCTCCTCCTAAATAAAATTTTAAAGGAGGGCAAAAAAAAAAAAGCGGGGGGTGGGTAAATGAAGACAGCACCTTCAAGGGTCGAGTCAAAGCTCTTAATCCCTGGCGGATGGAAATTTGAAGACAGCTTTTAAGGCTTGTCCACCCTCGAATTTTTGTTAAGGCCAGCTGAGCATGCAGGGAAAATCCAGAGTGCACTGCTACCACTGCCAGTTGCCTCCCTGTAGGAGGCCTGGTGCCCCCAACTTCCTCAGCACTGGCACATTTGGACACCAATTGGTGGGGGAGATTCATGGTTTATGAGGAGTTTGAAGGAGGGGCGTTCAGACAGAATTTGTTGTTAGATACAGGTGCCGCTTACTCCTTAATAAGTACCCAGAATAAGGACCTGTTTGGCCCTCTGACTGGAGTTAAGACCTTACAGGGGTTTAATGAAACAAAGAGTGTTGTCCCCTTTTGCAAAAATATTTTGTATTAAATATAAAAATATAAAATAAAAAGCAATTTGGATTAATCAATATAATTTTTTTAAATTAATGTTTTTTTAAAATTTAAAGTAGTAGCTAATTTTGCTAACAGGGTTCTATGAAAAATGCCTCCTGGCACATCCTGGGAACCAGTGAAGATTTTAGCAAGTTACCAGATAGTGGCCCTTAAGGCATCTAAAGAATTGAAGTGGCCCACGTGGAATTCAGAAATTTTGGCAATTTGTGGACCAAAAATAAAATAGAATGTGGTAAAATTGACGCAGAAATCCTAGTCACAGACCCTGATCCTGCACCCCAGAAGCAGTACCGGTATCCAAAGGGAGGCAGAAGCCAGCCTGAAGGAAACAATTTATGGGCTTTTAAATCAAGAGGTTTTAGTCAAGACCCAATAATGCTGCTCTCTGGCTGGTCCTTAAAGGTGATGGCAAGACCTGGAGACTCGTAGTTAATTTTCGCCCCCTTGATCGGGTGACACCACCCTGGCTCCCATAGTGGCTAAGTATCAGGAGGTGATGACCTCCATTGTGTGTGTTTGTGTGGGGGTGGAACAGTGGTTTTCAGTTTTGGATTTGTCCAACGCTTTCTTTGCTATCCCTTTACCTTGGCACCGCTATTACAAATATGCTTCACCTTTCAAGGAAAGCAGTTGTGTTTTGCCAGGGTCCCCCTGTAATCAAAACCTGGGATGGGATGTGTCAGGGCTCCCTCCCCACTCTGAACTCTAGGGTACAGACGTGGGATCCTGCATGAAAGACCCCCTAAGCTTATTTCTACCAGTTTTGGTTAAAAACTCCCCAAGGCACAAATTCTCCCTTGTACCTTGGATTAGGTAATGCTGCCACCACCAAGTGATTAGACAAAACTCAGGGAAAGGACCACTTAGAGTTCCTACTTTCTCCTAATATTCCCCCAAGCCCTACACCCCCTTTCCTGGGGAGGCTTGAGAATTCACAAGATAAGCACAAACCAACCTTGGGTTTTTTTAGACCACTAAAAAAACCCAATCAGATTAAAAACAAACACACACACACACACACACAACTTTATTAGAAAGAAAAATGTTAAAAGAAGCACCTCTGTGAAATTAGAATGGAAGATAATCTCACAGGGCAATCAGATTCAAAACACAGAGGATTTCCCTCTGGGCAAAACTTTAAAGAAAACCACTAATACACCTTCCTCTCAGCACAGAGACAATCACAAGCCAAAATAAAAGTAAGCTAACACATTCCCTTGTTAGTATTTACTAATCTAATGGAGTTGGATTACTTGCTTTTGTGATCTGACTCCGGCAAGCACACAGAACAGACAGACAAACAAAGAACAGACAAAATAAAGCCTTCCTCCCCCCCCCCCCCGATTTGAAAGTATCTTGTCCCCTTATTGGTCCTTTTGGACAGGTGCCAGCTAGGTTCTCTGAGCTTCTTAACCCTTTACTGGTAAAAGGATTTTGTGCCTCTGGCCAGG